CTGCTGTAGAATACTGGGTGGAAGGAGTTACATTCGCAGAAGTAACAGCCTCATCAAAAGCAAAATCAATATCAACAGCCTCAACAGCAAAATCAATATCAACAGTCTCATCAACAAAATCAATATCAGCAGCCTCAGCAGCCGGCTCAACGACATACCCAACAACAGAATCACTACCAGCAGACCCAACAGACAGCTTCTAAACCATACAGTCCCGCCCTACCTTATCAGCCACAACAAATGCAACATATGCAACAAATACCTCCTGCTCAACAGCCTCATCCTCCGTATCCAAATAATTACAAACAGCCTCATGCCTACCACCAGCAACAGCACATGAATTCGTATCATGCCCAACCAAAAACACAGCCATATAAGCCACTGATTTTCGAATTCGAGGAGGGAAATGGCGACAAGTTTCACTTTCCTTCATACAGCTTCATGGACGAGCTACCGGATGGCACTGGCGTCAAAATATCCTTTTTGATCACAAAGATGAAACCAAAGGCTGACCCGGTTGTCAAACCACCAGCTACACCTGCACCAAAAGCAACACCAGTCTCTACACCTGGCCCTCCTGCACTCGATACTCCGGGCGCAACACCTTCAGGTCCGTCGACGACGGCGCTCAATCCTGATACCCCGTTGCCAGCACCCTTACCGCCAGCAGCATCAACGCCTGTGACACCTCATGTCCCACCTCCTCGCATAGAAGACTTTGACGAAAAGAACGATATTGCAGACATTGAATTCTACCAACCAGTCACGGCTCTTCTACGTACTGAAGACCCAGTTCTCCTGGAATCCCTTCGTCGTGCCGTGCGGCCGCCGGAGGTTGTGGAAAAGTACATGAATGAGGTGTTTGACAAGTGTAGGCGTGCGGATGAGACGTACTTGGCATTCAGATTACCCAAAGATGGTGACGAGTTACCAGAGAAAAGGGCAAGGAGTGGAGATGCGACGCCGACAGTGGCAACACCGGCTCAGGATACGACTATGGGAAACACAGGGTTTGGTCTGGGAAGTGCAATAGATAGGAAGAAGGCTGGACGCCCTAAGAAGGGACTTGCATAGGTGTATCCTCGGGTGATGGGAATTAGATATGTGGGCTGGAGTGTGCCGGCTGGAATGATACCCAAGAACAATATTCCAAGGAATAATAATCTCTACAATTTTTCAAGCTGTGATGATATATACCGCTTACCCCAAAGCTCGAAAAAACCACATGCCTGATTTTACTGTCAACATGCATCCAGACTCCCCATCGCACTCGCCCACCTCCGACGCCAAGACACTCGTCCCCAACTTCCTTATCCGCACTAGCCTTATCGCCAGCCCTATCCGCTCCCGAAAACACCACCACCGTCCAATCCAACCATCCATTTCCCTTTCCTTCCCTACCATTCCTTAAGAACAACATCATTAATTTCTCCCCAGTCCCTCCCTTTCATACCGTCGCGAACTATCATCCATCCCCACGGATACCCACATTCCCACCCGTTAAAGAAAGACTTAGTTCAAGGCACCTTTGGTTTTTCAGCAGGAAAGGACGGCTGAGAAGGGGAGACAAGATGGTAGCGCTACAGCGTGTCTTTGTCAAGGCGTACTGGACGCTTGCTGGGGTGGGGATCGTGTGGGCGGTTTCTGTGGGGTTGTTGGTTGTACCTTGGGTGCAGAGACAGTGAGTTTTTGGTCTTTTTCGCGTGCTTGGTGCTTGGTTATGAGGGGGTTCGGTTTAGTATTTGTAGTTTTTGGATTGGGTGGGAGAGGAGTTGAAGAGGGTGATGGGATGGGATGGGATTAATTGCTAATTGAAAATTGCCAGCGCACTTTATGCACATAAATTCCAAACTGGGCTTTTTGGAAATGTTTCTAATCCGGAGGAATTTGGGTTTGCTAGTTAGTATCTTCTTTTTCTCTTTCATCTCTTGCCGTGGCCGACCTTGACATACTTCACCATTGTCGTGAAAGCCTTACATTGTTAGAAGTCAGACGATAGTCGCTAACATAACACCACAGAGGGCCAGGTCCAACCCTTCTTACTAGAAACAGCAGATCATGAGAAGCTGTTCTGTTGGCACGTCATTCCTCTTGATGTGTATCTGGAGCATGAGAATGAACTCCTCATGGCGGCTGGGTCTGGGGAAGTCGCGGAGGGATTGAAGGGGACGGTTGGGGAGAAGCTGATGAGTGGGGATGCGGAGAGCAGGGTTGTTGTGAATTTCCACGGAGTAAGTGGAGTTTTTGTTTTAACTCTTTTCATTTCTCGAGGTCTTCATTTACGGAACCGCATTGGAAATACTCCGGTTCAAATATTTTCTTACTCTGATGTACTCCACCATCTCTGCTCTTCTTCTTCTCATTCAAATCCCTTTACTCCTCAAACCTCCCCCATTTCCACAAGCTAATGCCCCCACCCCAGAACGCAGGCCACATCGCCCAATCCAGCCGCCCAGCCACCTACCGCTCTATCGTCTCCATCCCCAAAACCCACCTCCTCACCTGTTCCTATCGAGGCTTCGGCACCTCTACACTCCTCAACCCCCCACACCTCCCCACAGAACCCGGCCTCATCACCGACGCAATCTCCCTCCTCTCCTACCTCCACCAAACCCTCGGCCACCCCACCCACCGCACCGTCCTCACAGGCCAAAGCCTAGGTACCGCCGTAACCACAGCTGCAGCCCTCTACGCCGCAGACCCAACATCCCCCCTCCTCCCCCTCTCCTCCCTTGCCCAACCACCCATCCCCTCCTACACAGGCTACGCAGCCATCATCCTCGTCTCCCCCTTCCGCGACCTCCCCTCCCTCCTCCGCACCTACAAAATCGCCGGCTTGATCCCCGTCCTCAAACCCCTAACCGCTTACCCACGCATCCTCTCCCTCCTAACATCCCGCATCATCGACACCTGGCCCACACTCCCTCGTCTCCACGCCCTGATCGACGCTCATACCCCGTCCTCTACTCCCCCCCGGAACCACAATACCCAACGCCAAAACACCCCCCACCAACCCCCCCTACACATTCACATCCTCCACGCCCGCAACGACCCCGCAATCACCTTCCGCGAATCAGAAGCCCTGTTTGCATCTCTGCAATCTGTCCTCCTCGCCCACGAGCGTGCGACCGCGCGCGAAGAGCGCAGAAGCATTTTAGGCGCGGACAGGGTTGCGCGCGGGGCTTTTGCGTATCGGGTGGCGGAGGTGGAGGGGTGGGTGGGTGTGGATGGTTTAGACGAAGAGAGCGCGCAGACAGAGGGCGCAGAGGCGCGGCCCCGACCTGGTACATTGACGCTGGAGTTGGAGGTTGTGAGGTATGGGGCGCATAATGATGTTGGTGGGTGGAGTGGGGTTGGGTTAGCTGTGCGGAGGGCGTTGAGGAGGGGGGTGTGATGGGGGCGGTAGGTAGATTGGATTGTGAGATTGGATGTTTGGTATGTGTTGTAAGATAGATTGCATACCGGCAGTTTGTGTTGTGCAATGCGATATATATGCAGCAGGCCTATTACCATCTTAATCACGACACGGCCGAGCAATTCTAGATGCATCAACTAAAGAGCTTAAGCAACGTCTTTCCCAGGGCCACGTTCACCACAATGTTATCGCTTTGCCATCGACTACAAGATCGGCATTCGCGATGGCGACCCAGAAAACGAACTACAAGTATGAACGTAGGTACTATCAAAGAACATAAGAAACGCGAAGCAGAAGTCAACGCCGCTTTCGATATCTCTCGCCGAAAAGCTTTCTAGAGGTGAAAAGGGTACAGTCAGCGACCCATACCTTGAAAAGGTCCACGGCAAGTGGCAAATGTACTCCAGCAAGGTACGGACAAGAAGCATGTATGACGAGATAAAAAACAAGGACTTCCACGAGCTGGAATGGGGCGTAGTCCTCAAATTCCACCAGGACTCGCTAATTTATGCCTCAGAAAACGGGCCACTGCCAGACAAGGGGACTCTTTGGGCTTTTGTTCTTGCGACCACCCAGATTGTACCATCAGAATTAGGGAGACGTCTAACGTTATAAAGGGTGGCTTTGCCCCCTTTGAGATACCAGAATTCGGGTCCTCTGAGCCAATAGCCGTAAAGACGAGGAGCTGCTGCCGGCGTATCAAATTTTGGTTTGCGGGCGATGGCTATTTGCGCTTCCAGTGCAAGACGGGCAGGATAAGAAAAGAGGCACACAGAAATGCACCGACAACCACCTGGTCAGCGGTTCACATGATGCAAGAACATCTAAAGCGAGAGTGCCAGGACCGTATGAAGCAGCGGGAGAAACAGCAAGTAGAGCGAAAGCTCCAGGCAAAGAAAGAAGAGCAACAAAGACGTGGAGAATCGGGCACGCGATTCCAGGAAGCCAAAAGGAAAGCGGCAGGTAAAAAGGGCGTTGAGGCATGGCAGTCAAGCCAGCAATAGCACAGCGTCTGAAAGCGAGGAAGAAGAGCGTGAAGCGGATTACGAGGAACCAGAATACAAAAAAGACCCGTTTTGACAGCGATGCTTCAGCCTAGGAACCCAGCAATCATCTGCCGTTCAAGAAGTGGGACGGGGGCTCACTTACCTACGAGCGAGATGCCCTAGACAAGTTCTCAGCACGAAGAAGACGAAGCGCAAAACCTGTACCGTACAACAACGCGCTAGACGAATATATACCTACGCCAAGCGCTCAAATAAAGCATCGCGTTATACACTCTCAGCGACACGGGCAGAATACAATTACTGCGGCAAAACCAAGTCTACTCTTTGGGAGCGTTTGCATTCTACGCTGCATACCCAGGTACGCGATCTACTCACCAAGAGCGTATAATAAGCTAGCAGCAATCTTACGTACGGTAGGTAACCGTCTCGTATTCTCTAGAAAGATGAATAGACTTTACAAAGGCAAGAAAGACGCTGTATTACTCAACGTCAAGGACTACATCCCCAGCATTAGCGTTAGATGTCAATTACACTACATTAATATAAAAAAAAAGAGCTCAAATATATAAATCGCAAACGCGGCAACACAGTCAGTCTTGATGAGTATGTTATACCTATGCTTGATATTAACCTAAGCTCGTGTCAAAGGATAAGTTGGCAGAAAGATGAACGTCTAGGCAACTTGGCAAGCGAGATGAGGCAAAGATCCTTACAAAGACTAGGTAGGTAAGTAATAGTAATGGAAAATGGACTTGGGAGCTCCTTTCTGCATCAAATATATTTACACATATACATACATATACACAATCCCAAGCGCCCAAGCCCATCAGCAGCAGCAGCAGCCTAAAAAAAAACCGTCCATGCGCTCTATATGCCAAAACACCTCGTTACCTCATTTGGAGCCGTAATCTAGCGTCTTTTCGCTCTCATTGTGGCTCTGCATAACCACACCACCACCACCACCTCCACCCCAACAAGAACCTACCAGCCAGCCTACGCATTCCTCGCCGCCTGCTCCTTCTCATACTTCGCCACCAACTCGCGCTGCAACTGCGGCGGCGCCGGACTATAATGGCTAAACTCCATGCTAAACTCGCCCTTGCCCTGCGTACTCGCCCGCAACTGGCTACTAAAGCCAAACATGCTATTGAGGCTGCAATCCGCATACACCGTAAAGTCCTCGGGTCCAATCTCGGTATCATTAATGACTGCATTGCGTTTATTCAGGAGACCGACGACACCGCCCTGAAACTCATTGGGCGCCGTGATTGTCGTCTTCATGAGTGGTTCGAGGACCTGGGGGGAACCGGCGATGAAGGCCTTGCGAAAGGCCTGTTGGGTTGCCATTTTGAACGCCATTTCCGAAGAGTCGACGGCGTGGGTGGCACCGTCGTTGATGACCATGGAGGTGCCTAGGACTTTGTGGCCGAGGAGGGGTCCCTTTGCCGTCGAGGCGTTGAACCCCTTTTCACACGCAAACAGGAATTTCTCGCTAATCGTCCCTCCAGAGATTTGCTGCTCAAACTTGTTCTCCGACAGGCTCTCGCATGGCTCCATCCAGCCGACGACGCGGGCGTAGTCTCCAGAGCCGCCGGATTGCTTCTTGAGGGTGTGATCAAAGTTGACGCGCTGCGTCATGGTTTCGCGGTAGGCGACTTGGGGTTGGCCGGTTTCGCATTCGACGCGGTATTCACGGCGCATGCGCTCGACATAAATGTCCAGGTGGAGTTCGCCCATGCCGCTGATGACGGTCTCCTGCGACTCGGCATCGACGTGGACGCGGAAGGTCGGGTCTTCGCGCGTGAACCGGTTCATAGCTTTGGAGAAGTTGGGCGTGTCTTTGGTGTGCTTGGGCTTGATGGAGAGGGAGATGACAGGTTCGGGGACAAACATGGATGTCTTTGATGGTGTTAGCTTTTTTTGCTTGTTGCTCACTCATAATGTAGAGATGGACTTGCCATGGTGTATCCGAGACCCCCGTCCGTAAAGGTATCTCCAGACGCGCAGTCAACACCAAAAACGGCGCAGATTTCTCCGGCACCAATCTCCGGCACCTCCTCCATGTCGTTCGAATGCATGCGCACAATCTTGGGGATCCTGACCCTCTTGTCTGACCGCGCATTAAACACGTTCATGCCCTTCTTGAGGGTGCCCTGGTACACACGAATGTACGTCAGTTGCCCAAAACTGCTCTCTTCCAGCTTAAACGCCAAGCCGACAAAGGGCAGAGAGTTGTACGACACAAGCTTGACTGGTGCTTCGTTCCGCTTCTTGTCCAGCGCCATGTTTTCGACTTCGGAGGGGTTGGGCAAGTAATCGCAGACGGCGTCGAGCATCGGTTGGACAGACTTGTCCGCAAGTGCGGAGCCCATCATGACCGGTGTGAACTTGAGTGCAATGGTAGCGCGGCGAATGGCGGCCTTGATCTGCGCGATGCCGGGTTCCTGCTCGTCCAAGAAGAGTTCCGCAATCTCATCGTCCACATCCGCCAGCGTCTCGATGAGCTTCTGCCTCTTCTCCTTGCACAACTCGACAATGTCCTCTGGGATCTCATCCGTCTCCCGGATGATCTCTCCCTTGGCGCCCTCGTTGTAGATGGCCTTCATCCTAATGAGATCAACCACGCCCAAGAAGCCATCCTCGCGTCCAATGGGCACCTGGAGAGCGGCCGCAGGTATACGCAATTTCTGGTTGATTTGCTCGACAGCCTTCCAAGGGTTTGCGCCCATGCGATCCATCTTGTTGACAAAGGAAATTCTGGGGATGTTATATCTCCGCATCTGCCGGTCGACTGTGATGGTCTGCGATTGCACACCACTGACAGCGCACAAGATCATGACAGCACCGTCGAGCACTCGCAGCGCCCTCTCAACCTCAATGGTAAAGTCAATATGTCCAGGGGTGTCGATCAAGTTGATGTGGTACTTCTCCTCCTCGCCCTTTTCATTCTTCTTGGTCCAGTCGCAGAAGGTGGCGGCAGACTGAATGGTGATTCCCTTTTCACGCTCGAGATCCATAGAGTCCATCTTTGCGCCAACCGCATCTTTGCCTCGCACCTCGTGGATGTTGTTGATTCGGCCGGTGTAGAAGAGCACACGCTCGGTGGCGGTCGTTTTGCCAGAGTCAATGTGCGCGGCAATACCAATGTTGCGTACTCGTGACAAACGCTCCCACTCAACGGGGTCTAGGTTCTCGACAATCTTCTCCTGGGTCAAGGTAGAGGGGTCTGCCTTTGCCTGCTCCAATCTGCAGAGACAAATCATTAGTATGGACTCGATGCGAATGCCCCTCTCTGTAAAAAAGCGAGATTAATAGCCATCCGGAATCATAATACATACACTTGTGCAGCCACAGAGGCCCATCTCCGCTGCCCATTCGACGTCTGGTTGCTGATCCATGTGTCCGTCTTCAATCCCTGGGTGTAGGCTGTGCGGGTCGCCGCAACGGTGGAGAGGGCGCATCTTGAGCCCGTTCGGGTGGCCGATCGTGCGGAACAGCGCAAGCCGTTCGTGGCGAGCGATTGCGCTCGGAAAAGAGATTGAACCCGCATCTTGAACAGAGAAAAAAAAACCTCAACCTATGACGAGGAAGTAGGGGCAAAGGGACGACGCTGAGGTCTGCTGTTGCGTCGAGCACCGTTTCGTCTGGGGCTTGGGAAAAAAAGTTGGGGCAGCATCGGAGTTTTGGCGGAGGTGAAGGTCACATGATCACGCGTATGAAGCCTGACTTTTCGCATCGCGTTTCATGCCCGTCCCTGTTTCTTTGAACAAGTAATTCGATTCAAGTGATGGATTCCCTATACTTTGTTTCCAAACAATGTCTGTTAAATCAACCATCTACAGGAACTACAGGGTTAAATATCAAATACCATACAGCCTAATCCTTTGTATCCAAAACCCTATCTTCATACCTTCGCAATGTCTCGACAATGGCCTGGTGACAACCACCAATACCTATGACGCTCCCTCGAACCAAACGCTCCAAAAAATGCTGCTGAGAAACGAAGAGATGAGATGCCAGAATATCGACATGTGGAAGTGGAAGGCTGCTGCACACGCCCTAGAAGTACAAGAAACCATGAGTATACAGCTTTTGCATTCAGAATCCGTCTACACAGGGTTTGACGTTCAACGTATCGTCTCTCCTTCAAAATGGGGTGTTTGTAGCTCGGCAGTAGAAGCATCTCCCTCTTGAACAGGAGTGTCAGTACCAGCGGTACTCGCTTCCACAGGATTCTCGTGGGACTCCGAAGCACCCGCAGTAGCATCTTCGTGATGTTCATCATGATGCTCGTCGTTGTGTGGCTCGTCATCGTGGTTGCCATTGGTCGCTGCGGCCTTTGCCTTTGCAGCGACCTCTTCAACCTTTTTCTTGCCCTTCTGCAAAGCGCTGGCTGGAGCTTTGGCCGTAGATTTAGGTGGGGGGGAGACGGGCTTTGCATGCGTCTTACTGGCACTCGCGGCGGTAGGGCGCATCATACGCTCGAGAAATCCTCCTTTGGGCGCCGAAGAACTTGTCGTAGATGTGCGTGATTCGGGCCGTTTGGGAACATTGCTGGGGACGAGAGAGGCTCGTTTTGGGTTGGCAGAGGCAGGCTTTGGTGCTGAATGAGTTGTAGTGGCTGGCTTCTTGGCGACCTTTGCCTCTTCGCCATGTTTTGCAGCAGACGCTGCAGTGGGAGCGGTAAGACGAGAGGGCAGGCCGACAGGACGGGTAGGTGACTTGGGACGGGGCTTCTTAAAGCCGGTTGGTGAAGTGCTGGCACCCATGTTAGCCTAGTCAACGCACCCAGTTTTACTGTACATACCTCACGCGGGGCGCAGCAGTCGACGGCTTAGTGGTGGCAGGCTTCGCAGTAGTAGGGTTTGCTGCTACAGACTTCTTGCTCTCCGTTGCTGATGCGACTGGCTTCTTGGGCTCAGCAGTTGGAGCAGCCTTGGGTTTGGGGGCTGCCGACGTTGACGTTGTAGCAGATGCGCCCGTTGGTCGAAGGGAAGCCCGGTTCGTCTTTGCAGCTGGTTCCTTGGCTGGTTCCTTTGTAACCGCAGGCTTCTGCTGCACCTTTGTAGGACTCGGTCGTGGGGCCGGGGCTTTTACTGAAGCCTTGGGAGTAGTGGGTGTTCTCGGTGGTGGCATGGATTTTGGAAGCGGGCTTTTGGCAGCTGATGCGACGGACCCCTTGGCCGTTCCTATCGGTGTAGGCTTCTTCACATCGGTCTTCCTGGCGGGAACATTCATCTTCTTTGTAGCAGCAGCCTCTGCCTTTTTAGTAAGCGCAGGCTCAGACTTGTTGTCAGTGAACGGATCTTCTTCCTGTGCTGGCGCAACGTCTGCTTTCTCCTCTTCGGCCGGCTCGTTCTCTTCGGAGACGGGCGCCTCCACTGTCACTTCTGGAGTGGGCTCCTCAGTTTTGGTCGCAACCGGCCCCGGCTCCTGGACAGTCTCGGGAGGCACCTCGGCCTTTTCTGCAGCTGGTGCCTCAGCTTCTACCACTGGTGTCTCCATTGCCTTCTCTATAGGAGCTTCGCTGGCCTCTTCGGCAGGAGCTTCAGTTGGCTTTTCGGCAGACTGCTCAACAGGGGCTTCGACTTGCGTCTCGACGGGTGCTTCGGAGACTTTTTCGACAGCAGTTTCGACCGGTTGCTCCACGGGTACATTGGCCTCTTTTACTTTTGGAACGTCGACTTCCTCGGCCTCGGGGGCCTCGACCGCCTTCGTAGCAGGGGTCTCTTCCTTTGGCGCCACGGGTGTATGGGTCTTCTTCAAAAAGGGGGTCGAAACCTTCTTCGCGACTGGGGCATCGGCTACCTTTGCGATTACAGTCTCGATCTTCTCAGGAAGGGGAGACTCCTTCTCTTCTGTAGGTTGAGTCTCAGCTTTCGTTACTTTGGGTGTTGGGGGGGCGTACCTTTTGGCTTGCTGGCAGCAGCGGGAGCGACCTCGGCCGCTGACGCAGACGTCTCCTTTGCAGCGAGGGCATGCTCATCCGTGGGCACTGCTGGTCTTGAAGACACATCCTCCTGAGCTCCACTCACAACCTTGTCCGGGTTCTCGGCGGGCAGGTCGGCTGGCGATGCCTCAGACGACACCTGGGTCTTATCGGAGCTCAATTCAGTCGAGGCAGGCTCCTCCGTGGCCTTGGGTGCGACCGACTCGGAGGAATTCTCTGGGAAATTAGAACCCTTCATGATTGAGCCCAGATTCGTCCTCTCCCCGGCGGGCTCTGCGTGCATGGGCGGCGCGGATGTTGACGACTCTCTCGAGGCAACGGCTTGCTCTGGGACGGCCTCTGGGATGGCGACGCTTTGCTTGCGCTGCTCGCGCTCTTCGCTGACCACCTTTTTGAGCTCGGCAATCTCCTCGACGTTGTCGTGGCTCACGCTGAAGCTTTCGCGGCGGTGGGCGGTGGTGCTGTTGGTCGGGGTGCCCTTTGTGGCGCCCAAGTCGGTCGGGGCGCTGGTGGGAGGGGGATGGCTGGTGGGACCGACGGCGACAAACGAGGCGCGCACCTTGGACGTGGGCCGGCTGGTACTCTCTGGCGTTGCGGGCGATATGTCAGAGCGGCCGCGGGGCTCAGGAGAGGAACCGCCGCCGTTCTCGAACATAGCCCGCAAGTTGCGGACTCCGGAGCTCATGGCTGCAGCGGCGACGCGCACAACGTCAGCGGTGGGCTCAGTGATGTCTTGGTGGGGGAGAAGGGAGGAAGGTGGTGATGGAGGGCAGAGGGAGGGCAGAGGGAGGGCAGGGGCGAGCAGGTGGAGCTGAGGCTGAGGTTCAATGTGGAGTACGTGTGCGTGGGAGTGGAGTGGGTGTGTGAGATGAATGGACAGGGTGGTATGTGCCGGGCCTGAAACGCCCATTTGATGTTTGTGTACAAGCAACTGGACAGGGCAGGCGGCGCAACAGGGATGCAGAGAGTGCGTCGCAGAGACGGTTGCCCACTCACAACAATTGATTCTACGGTCAGACAAGAACGGGTGGATTGACGTAGTGGAGGTGAGTGGACGGGTTTGCGAGGAGCGGTGAAAAAGGAGCAGACGAGGGAAACCCGCTGGGGTATGTGCAGGAGGAGGAAGGAGAAGAAGAGGACGAGGGAAGAAGAGGGAGTCTCTCCGGAGCAACCAAGCCAGTGACAAACAAAGGCCAGACCAACCAAAAGCGAGCCTCGAATGGACCGCACACTGCTGCTGCCACTGCCACTGCCACTGCCACTGCACTGGACTGGACTGCACAACACGGTCTTGGTCTTGGTCTCTGCGCGTGGATCTGGATTATGTATATCGTGCTCGGTCAATCCTACAACATGGTTGCACGGGCGCGGTCGGCGGCTGTATATTGGTTGTGCGGGAAGCTCTCGAGAGAGCTGAGCTGGGCTATAATACGGGAAGAAGTGAGAAGCATGCTTTCCTATGCTGCCTAAGAGGACACAGTACCCAGATGTGTGTACGGAGTACATGGGCATGCACATGCATACATACTTCTACACACACACACACACACACACTGCAACACCACACTTGCAGCCCTGACTTGCACAAGTCACGTAAACGAAGAACCAATCTCTGCCACCCAAGTTATGCAAGGGGGGAACGAAGAGCATTCAATGGTTGTCGTTTCCAAGCTGGGCCAATGACATCAGACACGACCTCTCATTTCCGTCCCATTTCCACAAATGGACGAATCAGCAGTCACGCTAGTGCGAGTCTAATCACCCCCCCTTCCCTACCCTCTTCACACACACATGGCTTCTTTCACACACACACACACACACACACACCGATGGGCATCACAGACACTGGAGAGGATCTGAGGCAGAACAACGACACCCACCCATCACTATTCCACACCCTTCACTCAAACACACTCACCCACCTGCAAACACAGACATACACACACACACACACACCCTCATCACCAACAAACCACCGAAAAACCCCCCAATTGCTGAAACCACGCACCCCCCCACGTCTGGTCGCCAAGGACTCAAATGAATAGCTTGCCCGTGCTGGCAAGGGTCGCATCACCCCTCAAGACTTTAAGCAACAGCCACCGATATTGCAAGAGCA